TTACAACCAAGTCTCTATCTTTCGTATTTTCAAGGAGGCAATCGCTTGGTTCCCCCACTGTGACAACTCCTAAAACACCCAGCAAACCAGTTACTGATGACAAAGATGACAGGTAATAGTATTGGCTGATATGGGATTGCATAATAATCAACGTGTGAGACAATTACCTCCGTCCTTAATGGGTTAATGGGGGAGAAAAATTAGAACATTTTACACTTACATTTGGCAGGATCCTGGAGCTGCTATTGCTGTGCTCTCTCTCTGGTATTTCCAAGATGGCTTCATTCCCTGGTACATTTATGCCACCTGAAAAGAGAGGCTAATAGCATGTCTCTAGTCATGGGTAGCTACCAGCTGGCACTGCTACCTAAAAGACAATTCAATGGGAGGCCCCTGCATTACCTTCTTAACCCCTTAAGGATACATGACATGTGTGACATGTCATGATTCCCTTTTATTCCAGAAGTTTGGTCCTTAAGGGGTTAAAGGAAACTACACATTTTCAAAACACGCTGAAACAGGACAAATTTTAAATCTGTCCAATCTTCTGACATGCCCAGTTGCTCTCAAGAAAGCTTTTCCAGACAGCATCTGCAGTGAGGAACCCTGTGAGGAACCCTGCAGAACTAAACCCTATGACAAAAAAAGAGACACAGATTGTTTTTTACACACAAATAGGTCATGACTGAAGTTCCTTAATCTACTTTTGTCCATATTTTTTAGTTTACTGCTTCCACCCAGAAAAAAATAAAATATCTTAGTGATCCTTAACTACTGCCAGTAATTTTTTTCAATGTAAAAACTAGTGGGGCGCTTTCCTAAATGTCTCTATGGATGATCCTCCACTGAAATGGAGGTTCATTTAATTTGTACACTGCCTCACAATGTTTTTTCAAATACTTCTCAATCTATAGGAGGTTATTTTTCAGCTCTCCAGCCCCAGTCTCGTCTTCCTCTAAGACTTTCAGCAACAAAGAGGAGAGGTAAAGGCTCAGTTTTTTTGTTATTAGTATGCAAGGGTAAATTCTTACAACTAAGTCTCTGTCTTTGATCTTTTTAAGGAGGCAATCTCTTGGTTCCCCGACTGTGACAATTCCTAAAACACCCAGCAAACCAACTGACGACAAAGATGACAGGTAATAATTGAAAACAAGAGAAAATCTCAATGTATCTTTCCTGTTAAAATATTTTATAAATAAATAAATAGTACTTCCTGATATGGGTTTGCATAATCATCCACATGTTTGTCAGAGTAGTAATATGTTGCATGTAGATGATTGTTTTATTCTAAAACTAACCTCCTTACTAAACTGTTCTTTGTACATTCTCTGCCAATATTATTCTCTTTTTTAGGATACATTCTCTAAATTCTCCCAATCAAGCAGTCCATAAAGCAAATGTAAAACCAAGAACTGACACTAGAGAGGAAAGGTGAGAACACCAACTGTTATAATTAGAGAAAACCTCCCAGTTCATAGAGATGAACAAACCTCCATAAAACAGTCATAACTGGGCAGATTGCTAATGTTCACATAATAGCTTGCTCGCCACTTAATAACTGAGAAATATTTCGGAGGTTGGATAACTATTATTTATATACTTTTTTTCTCTCCCGAATCTACACAACTCTCTGCCTTGATAATCTCTTTGCAGGAAACAAACTCTAACTTATCCAACTCCTGGAGCTAGCAATCCATCCAGCAAACCAACAGCAGACCACAAAAAGGAAAGGTAAGAGTGATAAACTTCATCAAAATTAGAAGTGGAAAGTAACAACTGGTGAACCTTACTGAGGATAATAATATCTGAGTGAATACAGTAGGAAAGAAGAAACAAAAAATACATTGACAGTTATGGAATGAGAAGGCTAGAAGAAGAACTATTTAGTACACTATGCAGTTATATATAAAAAAATTTAAACTAATAAAATCTGTATTTAACCCCTTAAGGACCAAACTTCTGGAATAAAAGGGAATCATGACATGTCACACATGTCATGTGCCCTTAAGGGGTTAAACTTTTGAGTGTCAATAAGTTGATCTTATTTATCAAACACTCTAAACAATAGGAATAACTGCTCAGGAGACACGATTCAATGTTGCATTGTCAGCCCAATCCTAAAGCAATCACACAGTCAAAAGAGCGTGACTGTAAAGGGTATTGCTTCCATTCTGAATGGCAGCACACTGCTCTGCTTGTTAGATCCTACTATCTCATCCTGGAGAGTGTGATGAGCTGGCTGCCTGCAAACTAACAATAATTATATCATATAATTGAAAGCTCTTGCTTAATATATTTAGCCCTTGCTTCTTTTTACGGTGTCCTCAGGTATAGATTGTGTCTGTTTTTCACAATCTTTAATTATGGTATAGTTCCAGTTAAGACACTATTGAAACAGTGGTAATAACAGTCATCTCTCTACAGATATATTTCAAGGTATTGGTCTGGTTTAACGTGGTACATATATCAAAATCAAAAACTTCAGTAAAAATATCAGTGCCAAGGCAGCAGTCATGATGTATAGCCTCAGTTTCATGAGGGTACCCCTCCTGTTCAGCCCTCTATAGCAGGCAAACTCACCCTAGCTTTCTTTATGTCTATTCGTTACCTTCCTCTTCCCTCTCTAATAGGGCAATCTAAAATAAAAGTAAAGCGAGGAGAGAGGTAACCAGTTGCTTATTTCTGGATACTTTCTTTCTGCTATAAATTCGACCTCAATGATCCCCCCTTCCCCGAAAGAGACAAATTACTCCCTTCTCAACCCCCAGCCCAAGATTTAGGAGACTGCCACACTCCATTCATGATGTTATCAAAAAGGAATCTGCCTCTCCATCCCTAGCTGCATATGTTACAAGATCTCAAGTCACAAGACCACCAAAATCTGCAAATCAGTACCAACCTCAGAACCGCATCTCCAGTATGTCACAGATTTTGCCAGTGTTCTGTACCAGCAAGTGATTTATTTACAATTTAGTTCTTGTATTTTGGTGCTGAGTGTTCCTTGGTGGGCTAGGAGATGGATCTTCTCCCATTTGCGTTCAGTAAATTTATATACTTGCTTTGACTTCACTTTGATTTCATACTTTAGTAAATAACACAGAGTTTTTAAAATGAAAGACACATTAAATCCATATACATCTTGCCTTTTACTGTTCAGAGGCCTATCTATTAAAATACTTCCAACTAAATTAGTGAAGGGTTGAAATTGAAGGATACTGCTATTTAAGACAAATGGTCCAGTGACCTGATTTCTCTTGCAAATACTGAAACACTTTTGAGGTCATTGAAGCAACCGAATGTGGACAAATTGCAAACCTTAAACACTCTAAGCACAATAATAACTTTATCCTAATAAAGTGTTTTTTGTGTATAGATTATGCCCCTGAAGTCTCACTGATCAATTCTCTAACATTGGGAGTTAAATCACTTTGTTTAAACAGTCCTATATACACCGCCCCTGGATGTGACTCACACAGTCTCACCTACACACTTCCTCTCTACACAGTTACTGAAAAAGTAGTCTATTTGTTAACTTCCATTATTGCACAGAGTGTTTAATTTAGAATTTGTTAACTTCTGATGTGCTAATAGCCCGCTAGAGCCTTTTGTGTGTGAGTATAGTCCAGAGTAGGAGATATATTTTTCCAGGAAGCTGTGTGAGTCACAGACATTGATGGTATGGCTAGGGCTACATATATGTGATTTAACTAATAAATGGCAGAGAATTTAGTATCGAAACTGCAGGGACATGATCTGTGCACCAGAACTGCTTAATCAGGCTAACGTTGATTTAGTACTTACATTTTTCTTTTTACGTAATGGTTAGCTCACATCTAATCAAAGAAGATATATATGGTATGATATGCATGGTAACAGTGTAAAAGAAACAACATTTCATACAGTCTGCTTTGTTACTTTTTATTACCGTATCTGAGTCTCCTAAAACCTTTTTTTTCTGTGATACTATCTCTGCAGGCGACACTCTGTTAGTTCTCCCACTAATACAGCACGCACTACCTCAAGCAAACCAGTCACAGACCACAAAGAGGAGAGGTAAGAGTGTTAGATCAGCATAAGAAGTGAACACTAAAAACTGATTTTGCTTTGTTGGAATAATAATTTGTTTTTAAATAATGGTTGGGAATAAATTGCAGAGAATAGAGTAAACAGCATAGAAAAGCAGTAAAGTAAAACTATAGTGCCTGGAGCATTATCTAGTATGAATATCCCAGATGAACAAGACAATTTAAGTACCAGTAGTTTGATCTAAATTTTCATGCATTTTAAACCTTGTTAAAAGAAAGACTTAACAGGTAGCTGTTAAAGTGGTATTAAAATGATCTTTACTCAATAGAGCTGCACACCACAATGATTCCTTAATGGAGTGATGGGGAGCAGGGCAGAGCAGATCTACTGATCTCCCTCCTAGCTCGAAAAGTACACAGCTGAAGGTCCAAAACCAGGCATGGGTCCACACATGCCCTCCAGGGTGGAGGGGAGCATTCTTTGAATGGTACTCATTTGGGTGTCCTTTGAGAGCTGTAGCCACTGACACAATAAAAAAGGAGAAATAGCAATATCAGAGAGGGCAGCCATTTTCCAGTGAGAGCCAGAAGGGTGATATTGATAGAAATGAAGAGGATGTGTGTAGCTGTATATTTTAATTTACAGCAGACAGAACTGGCATTCCAGAGTGCACACTGAACATCATATGACTTCCCCAGCAAAGAGAGTGTAAGGTGCTGGGAACTCCCACATCCTCTAGATTGCAAGCTCATTTTATAAAAGGTTACTCCAAGCACCGTGACCATTAAAGTGTTCTGAAGTGGTAATGGTGCTTGGAGTCTCTTTGTGCAGCGTTTCAATATAAAATCCTGTACATCAGGTTTGCTGTTGAGATTGCATGCATTATTATTCATATTGGGAGTCTGTCATCTGCATGCAATGCATGCTGGTCCAGACGATCTTTGAAGGCATGCCTCACACTCCATGCTGCCTGAGTCCTCTACTCTGATCATCTCCTGGACATACTTCTCCCAATTTGCCTATCATACCACACTATTAAAGTAAATAGTCTGGTAGGTCTAACTAGTCATTGTATATGTATTATATGTTTTGTTAATGCCATTTAACATTGAACATATACACGAGTGCTTGTCCAACTGGGTACCTTCCTCTTTAGTCTATGCTGCAAATCTCATTATGAAAACTTATAAGTGTAGTTCTCAAAACCGGAACAGTTTGAAATATTGTTATCCCTTTTACTCATTCTAGCATACATTTGCTGAATTTGTTGGTGAAATAGTACAAATATAGATTAAGCTTCACTTGAAAAAGTTTTACTTTACAACATTCCTCCAATCTCTAAAATATTTTCTTGGGGGGCAGACCATATTTTGGTTATATGTTGGTTCGACTCAGCCAAACAAAAAACTGATTTGGGAAATTAAGAAGATGAACCAAAAGGTCACAAAAATGACGAAACAGTGTACTGCAAAGTATATAAATAATATTTATAACATTTTTCCACCATATGTTTCACAGATCAAATATAGGGAAATACAGGAAGAGCAGTAAAACAAAATCTATATTTATCTATTTTTTATATTTTTTTAATATATAATGTAAATATATATTTCACTATATTGGCAATTCCTAACTTGATCTGTGAATAAAATTGGTCCCCTAGCCATCAATAATTTTTTTTTTGCATCACTTGCTGAATACACATAGCGTGTATCAGTTGGTTCATGATGCAGCTACATTTCGGACGGATTTCAAGAATTCGATGTACTACAGTTCATACCATAACAAATCTCCAAATCTAGTGATCGCTTGCACTGTATCAGGCTTGCCACTGGTCTTAGTTTAACCTTCTCTCACCATTCCTGCAGGAGACACTCTCTTGGGTCCCCCAGTCATGGAGCTCGGAACGGATCTAGCAAAACAGTAAATTACACCAAAGAGGACAGGTAACAATGATCTGATTGGGATCAAAATTAGAAATGAACAATTTCTCTAGCTTATTTCTAGAAATATATGCTTCACAATGCATTAAATGTTTTGTGTTTATATATTGCTTTATGGATCACATAAATGATTATAGTACTTTAATATATCACTTATGAATTATTTAATTGCACATTCAACCCCCAGATGACTTGTTTTACAAGTTTTCTATAGTGACTTCCAGGAAACAAGCTAAGTTGATTGTAGTACAGAGCCATTGCAGCCTCACCTCCCAATGTATCCATTTTGTTTATGCCCAGCTCACCATTACTATGTGGTGTCACCCCAATCCGATGTCCTTTTATTTCCTGTTTCTTTATCCTAGTATCCTCCCTTATTTTCCTATCATTTTTTAAAAATTTTATTTGTACATGATAATACAAGATGGATATTTTATATCCAATTGGCTTCTCTCGGGAATGTATGTAGATGACTCTCTGTATAAAAATGAAGCTTAAAAAGTGATTGTAATCTCTTTTCAGGATGTACAGCAAAGATAAAAAAAATAATCTTTAATTTCCATTCTCTGGTCCCGTAAATCATGCTCTTGTTTTCACTTTGTCTTACTTGCACCAGGAAGCACTCTGTTGGTTCCCCTACCTCTACAGTTCGCAATGGATCCAGTAAACATGCAACTGACAGCAAAGAGGAGAGGTACGAGTGTAAGATATTTAGTAAAACAACCAATTCTTTTACAGCCTAAGGCTTTAAAAACCAGCATTGTGGCACAATTATGCTAAATATGCAATTTGCTAGCTGATAAGTTGTTGCAACACCAATTAGTAAAAGACAGTGAGAGTTCTCCATAGGAAAATTTAGAAATTGTCTATTTATTAAATTACATTGTGCTTTCACAGGCTGAAAAAAACAACACTTTTTTGGTGTAAATATTATTCCTAGTGAGCTACAACATTATAGTTAACCCTTTCAGCACCCTCAAAAAATGCCTAAAGATAACTGCATATATACAAATTTAACTTAAAAGGTTATTTTTAATATCTTCTAATAATGTGCAACATTAAGTAATGTTACTTACCGTAAATTCTTTTTTTCTTACTATAGTGGCAGTATTGAAACAAGTGGGTTGTGTCTTCTGCTGTAGACATGAAGCTCCCCGCAAAATATTAATATTTAATAATTTGATTGTAATATCCCGCCTACAGTGCCCTTATAATTCTTGTTCCTGCAAGGTTCACCAGTCATTCCAAGAACCAAATGGAGACCATATACTGCAAATATAATTTAATCCATACAAAAACAAGAGGAGGTAAAAAAGCGTACTGCCACTATACTAACGAAAAATAATTTTACGGTAAGTAAAATTAATTTTTTTCCCCTGTATATAGTGGCAGTACTGAAACAAGTGGGATACATAGTAATACCTCTTCTAAGAAAATAGGGTGGAGAAATCAGTAGGCCACTGCCTGAAGCTCCTTTTGCCTGAAAGCAGCTTCAGAGGAAGAGAATATGTCCATGCCCAGCCTGTAACAAAAGAAGAGAAAATAGGAGGATGTATAAGTATCAAAAAAGTTATGAAAAAACGATATAAAAATCGTGTTCTAATGTATTAGTGGAAGGATACCTAATTCAGTAAGGATTGGACTGAACAAATAATGTATTGGTGGAAAGATACCTAATTCAGTCAGGATTGAACTCAACCAATAATAAAACTTAACCTTTAACCCAGGCAAGCTAAAAAGTGGGACAAAAAGGGGGACTAAAAAGTGGGACAAAATATAATTCCAGTATCAAAACATCAAAAAACAAAAAACAAAAAAAAACCTTGGTGTAAAAATATATGTATAAACCCCAAAATGAGGGTCTACTACATGTAGAAAATTACCCTGTCTATATTCCTAATCAAGGAAATATGGAGTAGAAAGGGTAGGTCTGCTAAATATCAACTGAGATTTTTGTAGGTTTAAAAACCAACCATGATCTCTTAGAAATTTCTTTATGTTTTTGAGGTCTAACAGAAGACAATGTTTTGATTCTGCCTTTAAAACCCAATAGTCCAGGTAAGGAATTATTGCCATACCTCTCAGACGTAAGGTTGCTGCTAGAGGAGCCAGGATCTTTGTTAAGATACAAGGGGTCGATTAGAGGCCGAAAGGTAGGGCCTTGAACTGAAAGTGTAAAATCTTTCTTTTTCCAGCTTGTATTGCATTCTTCAGGTCAACTTTGTCATAAATTATCCTTTCTGCAGGATGTGTGTGACTGACAAAATATTTTCCATACATTTCCATGCATTTACTTCTTTGAGGTTTAGGATAAGATGATAGGACTTGTCTGGCTTTCGAATTAAAAATAAGCGAGAGTCAACTCCTTCTGGGCATCTGGGCACTTTTTCTATAATGCCCTTGTGTAAAAGAAGCAGGTCTTCTGTTTTTTTGGGGGGATTGATACTTTAAAAGAAGAAAAATCAGGTCTGGCGCAGTTTAAAACCTTATTCTGTATAATTCTGAAATGGTCTTTATTATCAAGTATTTGATGTCGTCTCCTTCCATTTCTGAGTAAAGAACCGAAGACAGCCTCCCACTCTTTTGACGTCAATATCTTTTCTTTTTGTCTTGTTTGTTTGGATCCCTGAATCTGGTGTCTCTATTCCGTCTGCAAAATTTACGAAATTTCTCTTGGTAGTGAAAGAAACGCATCACACTGAACTGATATCTTTTTTTTTTTTTTTTTGAAAATCTTTTATTCAATGCATACATTTTCGTGGACATTTAGGTCCTATTTTCGATGAAACACGGTTTACAAATGAGTGCATTATTCTATACAATCATAATCGTGCTATGGTATATGTCAAGATAGATGGTGTGTACATATGCATTCAATATTCCGTATTACAGTTGTCGGGTTTCAGGCGGGAGCTGTGCGTCTTCGGGTTGCTACTTATCGCTACCCTTGTCTGTGTTGGTCGTCAGGTATGGCCTCTGTTAGGGCGCTGGTTATACGTTGTATGGTTAGCAGTCAATGTGTATCAGTAGGTCGTTAAGGTTACCTGATGAGACCTTTATGTGTGTGCTATGTATAGCTTATCAGCTTTTGTTGGCCACTGGTTAATGCTGTCAGAGTTTGTGTTGGCCTTTTCAGACGTGGGCCTGTCGCACGTATCTGGCAAAGGTCTTTGTGTGCAGTTTTGGTTAGATAAATTGTACGTCCGTCCATCTATCTATGGGCTGGGATTTTCCGGATCATCTATTATGTAGATAAAGAAAGTGAGAGGGGGAATGGGGTACAGGTATAGGGGGAGGATGGGGGTGGGGGGGGTGGTAGAAAAGAGAAGAAGAGAAGAGAGGGGGGAAGAGGGGAGGGGGGCGGGGGAGTAAAGTCGGAGCCGCCCATTCCTGCGTCACCACTGCTCCGAATGGTGAACTGATATCTTTTGTTGGATTGAGGTCCTGCATATATCGAATCCTGAGGCAATGCCATTTTTTGTTTCTGACATTTCTTTAATTATTTCTTCCAGTGAAGTGCCAAATAATTTGTTCATCTCGTATTGCAGTTTACATAAAACAGATACTGAAGCTGAATCTGCAGTCCAGGTTATGGAACAAAAAGGTAATGGTTCAGCGCTAAACAATCTAAAAGAAACTAAAACAAAATGTAAAAGCAGCAACCTATAGGAATGAGGTCCCTCTAAAAACCTCACATGGAATAGGACAAACAGAAATGGGTATATAGGTCGCGCTAAGGGGACAAGGAGGTAAAATAAATGAAATAAATAAAAATGATAAAAAAGTCCCAAATATAAATAAACCTGTGTTGTTCTAGGAGAGTATACAGTCCAAATGGATATCTGAGTCTTCTTATGTTGAAGACTCAGATATCCATTTGGACTGTATACTCTCCTAGAACAACACAGGTTTATTTATATTTGGGAATTTTTTATCATTTTTATTTATTTCATTTATTTTACCTCCTTGTCCCCTTAGCGCGACCTATATACCCATTTCTGTTAGTCCAGGTTATGAGCCACAAGGCTCTTCTGGCCACTGAGGATAAACCCATTATCAGTGCAAATAATCCAAGTATGGCATCAGAGACATCCAATAGAAAGACATTGGAAAGTTTCAGAAGAAATAGCAGCTGACCTGGGTCTTTTTCCGATATTCCCATAAGGGCCTATTCTAAGGCTTGTAGCCACTTACTTTGGGCTTTTAGCACTGCTAAACCAGAGATTTCAGCTTTGCACTGATAACCTGCTGCCTGAAAAATTCTTCTGCTTGATGTTTCGGCCTGCTTCTCCATGGGATCCTCTAAACCAGAACTCACCAATTGGGATCGTGGTTTTCTTTGATAATTGTGCCACCTGAATATCGACTTTCGGAAGGTCTTCTCACTTTTCCTCAGTCTGTAGTTTAAAAAAGTTGCCTGAAATGTTTCAAAATAAAAGCATGCCTTTCTGTGTTTTTCCATTCTCTCTGTAGTAGTTTCATAACCCTTGATTGTATAGGAAAACCTTTTACCTTACCCATGGTAGAATCATTTTTCTAAACAACCGCGGTTACTTCCTTGATAAACTTCTCCATTTCCTCTGCTAGAAATCCGTCTTTCACACTTGAGGCCAGACTGGATACTTCTGAAAGGGAAAAAGCTGAACATTCACCTGTTGAGAGCTCAGACAGGGATGGGGATCTTTCTCTCTTTTGTTTCTTTACCTGTCTTTCTTGAATATTAACAGACCCGCTGTCTTTTTTAACTGTATCCTTAAATGACTCAAAGGTTTGTGATAAATTCTTCTGGAACCAGCTCAGGAATGAGTCAATTTCATTTTGCTTGGATTTTTCCAGCAATTACACCAAGCATTGATTACAGGTCTTTTTCCTACACTCTTCAGGAAGAGGGACCGAACATTCTGAACAACACAAGTGTTTTGTTTTGCATGTGGCCTTTTTAGGGATAGAAGCTGACATCTTATCCTTTTCAGCTTTATCCAGTAAAGCAGGACTGGACATATTCTGTTAAAGACAAATGAGAAGAAAAAACACATTTTCTAAAATTAGAAAGCATGCATATAAAGATGAAGTTTTAAATGGAGATTTAATCTAAATTCCTTCCTCAAAAACCTCACCAATGTGTAGTAGGGCTGGTGACACGGACTACCTGTTTTGGACAACCACCACTGGGATCAGACAGGTCCTGCACAGCTTTTATACAAAAATCTTTAGAATTTTGCGCCAAATTATTCAAAGATCCGGCCTACGCATGTGCAGTAGCGCAATCAAAACTTCAGTGGAAAGCACCATCTCCCGGGCATGCGTTTCGCTGCTGTGTGAATTCATCCATCCTGTATTTTGGGAGGTCTTCCCAGGACCTCCAAAAATATGGCCACAAAAGCCAGCTTGCAGTCGTGTTCCGTAACGCTATGGAACGGAAGTCTTCGCAGCCCAGTTCCCACCCGGGGAGCTTTAGGGCACTAACCTCGCTGGTCAGCAGCCTGTGCCGGTCGCACCAATTTTTAGAATCCTGGATCCAAAGGAGCCCTGTCCATCCTGTCTGCCGGGACAAGGAGAACTGGTGAACCTTGCAGGAACAAAGATTATAAGGGCACACTAGGCAGGATATAACAATTAAATTATTAAATATCCAAATTTGAGGGGAACTTCTTGTTCACAGCAGAAGACACAACCCACTTGTTTCAGTACTGCCACTATTCGTGGGGAAAATAATCATTTTCATTTCTTGCAACCTGAAATAACGCTCTTATTTTCACTATGTCTCACTTGTTCCAGGAAGCACTCTGTTGGGTCCCCCACCTCTACAGTTCGCAATGGATCCAGTAAACATGGAACTGACAGCAAAAAGGAGAGGTAAGAGTGTAAAATACAAATTTTAACTACATAGTAATATTTATTAGCCCACCTTCAGTAACATTGATTTACTAGAGCCCAAAGCTTTAAACATAAG